AAATTTTTGACGCGTTCTAACTTAATTGAAGAACAATTGAAGACTGTTAGATGACGATACGATATTTTTCCATTACTCTTTCTTCATTAGTTCTCGGTTTCTTCTTTAGTATATCATTTACTTGTTTATTTTTAATTTTACCATTCTAAAAGTTCCGTCCACACTTCACTATATTTCATCTCCCAGCTTTTAGTGTTGATTTTTTGCAATTCTGATTAATTTGCTTGGTGTATTAATTTTCTCATAAATCATTCGTACAGTGAACCTACGCAGCTGTATCTCGTACTAGCACTTGGTAATAATGCTTGGTTGTTTTTCACTATGCACTACCATAAAAACACAGCACATTTAATGTTATCATTTATAAAACGTAATTTAAGATTAAAAATCATTATTTTGTTTATAAAAAAGTTCCCTAAGTTAAGTAAGATTATTAAGTTCCCTAAGTTAATTAAGTTCCCTAAGATTATTTTTATTTCAATTAAAAACAATCGGTACGAGATATCTTAAAATAATATCTGTTATCAAAACTATTATGTAAAGACATAACATTTTTAAGTTTACCATGTGTGTTGAAACTGAACGCAGACTAAAAAAGTTTGTCTACTTTTTTTAAAATTGTAATCGTTGATAGCGTAGTAACGTTTTTGCCAACAGGTCCAATGGGCGCGTTCCAAAAAAATCATAGACAAACTTATCGTAGCTAGACTGCTCTCCGACCGTGTCACCTGAAGGTCGTACGCATACGTATCGTATGTGCGATATACATATCTTTGATGCCTGGTTAAAATGTATTGATTAGTAGCTGTTATTAGGTCACATTTGATCTCATTGCGCTGTACACCTGCGGTCTGCTTTCGGTTTGAAATCTATTGAAGAGGAGTACCTTTGAAAGCTTTGACTGGTTTTTTTTCTCGATGGCTGTTCGTAAAGAAAAGCTACCGAAGCGTACGTATAAAAGATATTGTACGATGACTTGTAACTTATAAGGCTTACAGCTAGCTAAGTTTCAAAGAATATATTTATTAATTAATAGCAATATGGAAATATAATTTACATGTCATCTGTATGACAAATTAAATTTCGTATGAGTTTTTTATTGAGAAATACCTGTTTACATAACAGGAGTTATGACTGAGAGTTACTTTGACTAAGATTATAAGAGCAGCCTCACTAATTTTATTATATCTAGGTGGTCAGCCAGCCTAGGATGCGCGCCACGATTTAATCTTATCATTGAATTTAGACGACAAATGTATAGGCTTTAAAAATGTCTCGATTACATTACTTCTTTAATAATATTTATTTATTTCGGAGCTTTTGTCTCCAGAAGCTGCTCAAGCCAAATCACAAGTTTACACTAAAGGCCTATTTAGACCTAAGCGGTATTCGCTACCGTCTGCGGCAGAGAAAACCCAGTGGGTATGCGGTAATAATACTGTTCAGACCTAAGCGGTATTCGCTACCGTCTGCGGTAGAGAAAACCGCTCTAGCCGCGGTACTTGATACTAAATACCTGAGCGAAACCCGCATGGTATGTACCTCTACCCACAGCGGCAGCGAATATCGCTCAGGTCGCTCTAGCCGCGATACTTTATACTAAATACCTGAGCGAAACCCGCGCGGTATGTACCTCTACCCACAGCGGCAGCGAATATCGCTCAGGTTTGAATAGGCCTTTAGAAATAATTAACACCTCAAGGGCCTCCGCCAAAACACGCGCGGGCGCCCACACGAGGTTCAGTATCGAAAATTAGTATACAGCGCTCACGAATACATGCGTCCACCGTAGGTAGGCGGGCGCCCTCGCTATTTATAACAGATGCCCTATGATTACTTATATCGTGGCGCGCATCTTAGACTAGCACTGGTCATGCTTCAATTTGTAATGTATAGGGTTGCCAGAACATCTAAGTAAAGATCTGTCGTGTGATACAGGCGCAGGCGTGGCCGTACGTGGCGTGGGCGGCGTGGGAAGCGTGGGCAGCGTGGGCATGGTGCCGGTTCAAGTGCCGGTGAGCGTGGCGGGCGGCCATACTGTGTACCAGACCGTGCACGTGCCTATGCACGCGCCGCACCACCTGCAGCTGATACCTCACGCGCACCAGGTCAGTTATGTTTGGATCTTTATTCTATGGACTCCGAACAACTGCCAAGGCCAACCAGTTGGCTATCAAAGGAAATTTTTACAGGGTCAACGTTTCATTTTAACTTAGGCTGTTTTCACACGATACCGTAGTGGCAGCGGCTGACTTCTTCCTTGGATCTCTCGCGTAGAGTCTCGCCGCCGCTGCAAATGCGCAAATCAAAGACAAATTAATTGGATTTTTTTATGTATCGTCTCTCGAATCTCAAATCAGCGATCCGTTGCCGATATCATTGTGATATTGTGTCGCCTCAATATCTTACTTTACAATAATTAATATAAATAATATGGATGCTGGCCTGTGAATATTTACTCTCAAAAGCCGTGGGAAGTGGCGCATGCAAATGGCAATCAAATCAACAAATCCAAAATTACCATTAAAGTAATGACATTAACTTTCATTTCATTTTCTAGATGCAACAACCCCAGATTGCCAACGTGTTGACGCCGTCAGGTCAAATTCAGCAGATACAAATAGCGTCATTAGCAAATGTTCAGGTAAGAATACAATAGTTATCATTAATTAAACTTTCTATAACTTATCCATTCATAAAAACCTACAATTTAACCATGTTCTTTCGAATGTTTTGAACTGATTAAACTTAGGTTGAGTTGCACCATCTTACTTTAACAGTAACTATAATCCTAACCGGTGTTTTTGTATTGAGTTTGACATACTTGACATCTGTTATAGTTAAAATAAGATGGTGCAATCTAGCCTTAATTTTTCATGTCATTGCCCATTAAATCTCTTGTCTTCTATTAAAACCAAAAGTTTCTCGAGTCTTGCTTGATCATTCTGTAAATATAACGGGGTTGGTTTGGTGCAGCAAAACGGAGGCACGCAGGCCGCCGCCAGTGCCGCACCCACGCCCGCGACCATCACTCTGCAGGTGACTTAGCGTTAACTCTTCATGGCATGAAGCTTCAATCAAACTAGCGCAACGTTAACTCTTCATGGCATGAAGCTTCAATCAAACTAGCGCAACGTTAACTCTTCATGGCATGAAGCTTCAATCAAACTAGCGCAACGTTAACTCTTCATGGCATGAAGCTTCAATCAAACTAGCGCAACGTTAACTCTTCATGGCATGAAGCTTCAATCAAACTAGCGCAACGTTAACTCTTCATGGCATGAAGCTTCAATCAAACAAGCGCAATCATGATAACATTAGGGTGTGCACGGCTTATATGCTTTATGTATTATATGATTTATGGTGTTTTGACAATCCTGTCATTATAACACTAAATTCTGAAGTAGTAAAAGACACATTTTAAGAATTTCGTTGTAATTTATTTTTGATTTGATAATATTTCTGAATCTGCATTTTTGTTCAATCAATCTACTTCCCAAATAAAGTAATTTAATTATATCATGGGGTAAACGACGTTATTATATCATAGGGTAAATTTTTAATACCATTCTGTGATATAGTTTTTAATACCATTGTGTGATAGCGATGCACGTATTACTTATGCCTTAGTTATTTCTTGCATGAACATTTTTTCCTTACCCAGCTTATAATGCTTGTATATTGTATGTATTTGTATTTTCCATCACAGATTTAGAGTCTGTGGCAGATTATATACCTGATTCGTTGCCTAACAAAAAGTAGTGCCGACTCCCATTAGCTAACCACTGCGAACTAACAACTAACAAACTTGCCTCCACTTTCGTGCTGCTCGGACGCTAGGCGGTGTCGAACCCGATGCAGACGGATGCAACAGTGCAACAAGTGCAGCAAGTGCAGCAACCGCAGACCATAATCACCAGCGGGTCGGGGCAGCAGGTCACTGTCATCCCAGCCACCAATGTACGTGCGAGCGTGGTGCAGGTATAGGCCGAACGCTCGGTTGTAAAGCCTGGTCCGTGAGCACGTAGAATTTTGTCCAATGACCCCAAGCTACCCATCCCTATCGCTCGCGCATAATTATGTTGCTGTCGCGCTCGCACACTCACTGCGGGCGCGCGTCGCACAGTCGCGACAGCAACATAATTACGCGCGAGCGATAAGGATGGGTAGCTTGGGGTCATTGGACAAAATTCTACGTGCTCACGGACCAGGCTTTAGCTGTGAACGTGTATCAGTGTGTCACCACCATGGCACCATTATTTGACCGACGACGACATGACAGACGATTTTCTACGAGCGTGATCAAGTAAAGGGTATTAGTTTGGTGGACTGGTATGCCAGCAAATAGATCACCGCTGTACAGGTCGCAAAATAGCTAAAATTCATCCAGACAGGGTTTCGTTCGTGACTTTCGTATCGACAACTGGTATCTTTGAAGAATAGCTCACTGCTGTATACATCGCGACGTAGCCATAAGTTTTTAGGTTTACACTCTTTGACTATCATATGACGTTCATGTTGATATTGGGACGAGTTACTTGGGTTGACAATCAAAATGATTATTATGTTCCACCAAATGCAATTGTGCGTTTTCGTGCTGCCTAGACACTAGGCGGTGTCGGATGCAACAGTGCAACAACCGCAGACCATAATCACCAGCGGGTCGGGGCAGCAGGTCACTGTCATTCCAGCCACCACTGTACGTGCGAGCGTGGTGCAGGTATAAGCCGAACGCTCGGTTGTAGCTGTGAACGTGTATCAGTGTGTTACCAACATTTTATGATCCATGACAGACGATTTTCTGTGAGCGGGATCAAGTAGAGGATTTTAGTTTGGTGGATTGGTATGCCAGTAGAATACCGCTGTACAGGACGCGAAATAGCTAAAATTCATCCAGACAGGTTTCGTGAGTTTTGTATCTGCAACTGGTATCTTTGAGGAATAGGTCACTGCTGTATACATCGCGACGTAGCTATAAGTGTTCAGGTTTTCACTCGTGACTGACGTTCATGTTGATATTGGGACAAGTTCCTTGGGTTGACAATCAATATGATTATTATGTTCTATCAAATGCAATGAGGGCTATCGTTTTTATACTTAACAGTTGGCACCCCTGGCGATTGACAGGACCTTACTCTACAGTGGCGCCATCTTGATGAGTGCAAATGCGATAGTCCTCCTACCACTTAAGCGCTCACAAGTTGGCGCCACTGCCTTCGCTACTAGCAAGTGACAGGACGTTACTCTACAGTGGCGCTAACTGGTGAGCCCTAAAACGATAGCCCTCATTGTGCGTTTTCGTGCTGCCCGGACACTAGGCGGTGTCGGATGCAACAGTGCAACAACCGCAGACCATCATCACCAGCGGGTCGGGGCAGCAGGTCACTGTCATCCCAGCCACCACTGTACGTGCGAACGTAGTTCAGGTATATGCCGAACGTTCGTCAGAACGGGGCCGAACGCTCGCTGCGGTAGCTGTAAACGTGTATCAGTGTGTTATCACCATTTATGACACATGACAGACGATTTACTGCGAGCAAGATCAAGTAGAGTCCGTTAGGCTGAGCATCAAAATAATCATAACGCTCTAAATATGTATATGCGGACATTTTGGCTTAATGGTACGTTTTGGGGTTTTTTGGTGAAGGAAAGGGTCTGGTTTTGAACAACTATGTATAATGCAATGATATTTGGTGGTGGTGTACATTTGCCAATTTCAATTTAATAATTAATTTAAACTGTGTAAATGTTTCAATTACTGTGAAACTATCACTTCATTGCTAATTGGTATCAAAAGCAACTGCGAGCCTTATGTGAAGAATACCTGATGTTCATAGGTCCCAACGCTGGGTGTTGGCGGCGTGGGCGGTGGTGTACAATTGGTTCCTGCGCTGGGACTCCCTGGGGTGCAGTTGGCTCAACTTCATCAACCTCAACCGCAGCCGCAGCCAGTTATAGGTGAGACATCTTCTTAGACTTCGCAGATCGTGATCGTGTATTTTCAAGTGTCTTGTATTTGAAACTCAGCGCAACAAAGTTCCCACACGTTTGGTATATTATAGTGTCACAAAAGACTTGCTTTGCGCAGTCTCGGGTAAAAAGTAGGATAAAGTCTTTGTAAATCTTTCTACAATATACCCACCTCTCTCCCCCTATTCTTTGCAAATCTTGTAATCAAGATCCCCGTGTCTTGTATTTGAAATTGAAAGTAACATAGTGCCCACACGTTTGGTCTCTAGTGTCAAAAAATAATTTTGTTGCGCAGTCGGGTCAAAAGTATGAAACATCTTTGTGAATCATTCTACTAAATTCCCTTCTGTCCCCAGGTCAACAAATCCAGCAAGACCCCAACGAGCCGGGCAAGTGGCAGGTGGTCACCGTGAGCACAGCTAGCAACAACAGCAACAACAATTCGGGCAACAACTCCGGGACGGAATGCGAGGCCAGCAAGCAGCGCGCGTCCAGTCCTTCTGGCAACAAGCGGCTCATGAAGCGGGTGGCGTGCACGTGCCCCAACTGCGACTTGGGAGAGAAGTGAGTCATTGAAATCAGCACCTCAACAGCTTACAGTGACCACCTGCCACTTGAGCAAGTGGCAGGTGGTCACCGTGAGCACGGCTAGCAACAACAGTAACAACAATTCGGGCAACAACTCCGGGACGGAATGCGAGGCCAGCAAGCAGCGCGCGTCCAGTCCTTCTGGCAACAAGCGGCTTATGAAGCGGGTGGCGTGCACGTGCCCTAACTGCGACTTGGGAGAGAAGTGAGTCATTGAAATCAGCACTTCAACAGCTTACAGTGACCACCTGCCACTAGGGTAAGTTGCAGGTGGTCACCATGAGCACGGTTAGCAACAAAAATTTGGGCAACAACTCGTGGACAAAGTGCGAGGCCAGCAAGCAGCGCGCGTCCAGTCCTTCTGGCAACAAGCGGCTCATGAAGCGGGTGGCGTGCACGTGCCCTAACTGCGACTTGGGAGAGAAGTGAGTCACTGAAATCAGCACCTCAACAGCTTACAGTGACCACCTGCCACTTGGGCAAGTGGTCACCGTGAGCACGGCTAGCAACAACAGCAACAACAATTCGGGCAACAACTCGGGTACCGAGTGCGAGGCCAGCAAGCAGCGCGTCTCCAGTCCTTCTGGCAACAAGCGGCTCATGAAGCGGGTGGCTTGCACGTGTCCCAACTGCGACTTGGGAGAGAAGTGAGTCATTGAAATCAGCATTTCAACAGCTCACAGTGACCACCTGTCACTTGCGCAAGTGGCAGGTGGTCACTGTGAGCACAGCTAGCAACAACAATAACAACAACTCGGGGACGGAAGCCGAGGCCAACAAGCAGCGCGCCTCCAGCCCTTCTGGCAACAAGCGGCTCATGAAGCGGGTGGCTTGCACGTGCCCTAACTGCGACCTGGGAGAGAAGTGAGTCATTGAAATCAGCGCTTCAATCATCGTACACTTCCATAGTGTTAATGAATGACTGAAAGGACGCAGGGAGATTTAATTACTGCTACTGACAAAGCCTCTCTTGTAGCAGAGTTTTGGGCTGAGACTGTAAGTTTGTTGTCGATACGACAAGATTTCAGTGGGATAGCCTTTATGTGAAAGCCATACGATAAACATTCTTCCTCACCACTCCACTACAGCAAGGACTTACTCAATTATGCTCCATCTAGCAGTCCACCCCATTGTCCTTCGAGCATCGTCGCAACGTCGTTGTCTCGCTAACGACTTGGCGTCATTTAGTTTAAAGATAGGGTCGGCCCCCCATTAAGTGGGGGAGTGTTGGGTCCCGCCGTGTAGGGCGGGATGTCCGCGGAAGGCGCCTTGGTCGTTTCTAGTACCCAAGGCGCCGACCACTATGCGGCCGAGGGACCCCAGGTTTTTAGTGGGTTCGAGTCCCACATACGGTAGGTTATGGATAGGCCATTTTCCTGGGTAAAAAAAGGCGCTGCCTAAACGACGATGCGACGTTACGATGACGTCGAAAGACGCTAGTTTGGGGGGTCCGTTATGTAGTACTTACTTATTGCTTACTTCTAAAAGTATCAGTTTCAAAGTGCCTGTTTCTTTCCAGCCGCCTGGTAGACCGCAAGAAACAACACGTGTGTCACATCGCGGGCTGCAACAAGGTGTACGGCAAGACGTCCCATCTGCGTGCGCATCTACGTTGGCATTCGGGCGAGCGCCCTTTCCTCTGCAACTGGCTGTTCTGTGGAAAGAGGTTAGTGCTGTCTCGCTTGGTCCTGTGCGAGTGACAGTTCAGTCGCGACAGCAATACAACAACGCGCGAGCGATAAGGATGGGTAGCTTGGGGTCATTGGACGAAATTCTACATGCTCGGCGACTGGACTTTACCACAAAGTGTACAAAAGATAAAACGTGCGTGCGCATCTACGTTGGCATTCGGGCGAGCGCCCTTTCCTCTGCAACTGGCTGTTCTGTGGAAAGAGGTTAGTGCTGTCTCACCTGGTCGCGAGTGAGAGACAGAAAAAGAACATTATTTATAGCTTTTTTTTATGCACAATAAGGGTATTTGACCACAACAAGTTGGCTACAACAAAGTATACAAAAGATAAAGCATGGTTGTGTGCGCATATACGCTGGAATTCTGGCGAGCGCCCTTTCCTCTACAACTGGCTGTTTTGCGGGAAAAGGTGAGTTCTGTCTCAACTGGTCGCGAGTAAAAGGGACGGAGCACGGCGCCATATCACAGCTGCCACGAAGTCTACGGAAGATAAAGCATAGTTGCGTGTGCATCTACATTGGTATCCGGGCGAGCGCCCCTTCCTTTGTAACTGGCTGTTTTGCGGGAAGAGGTGTGTGCTATCTCACCTGGTCGCCAGTGAGTGACAGGGACGGAGCACGGCGCCATATCACAGCTGCCACAAAGTGTACTAAAGATAAAGCTTGCGTGCGCATCTACGCTGGCATTCGGGCGAGCGCCTTTTCCTCTGCAACTGGCTGTTCTGTGGAAAGAGGTTAGTGCTGTCTCGCTTGGTCCTGTGCGAGTGACAGTTCAGTCGCGACAGCAATACAACTACGCGCGAGCGATAAGGATGGGTAGTTTGGGGTCATTGGACGAAATTCTACATGCTCGGCGACTGGACTTTACCACAAAGTGTACAAAAGATAAAGCGTGCGTGCGCATCTACGCTGGCATTCGGGCGAGCGCCTTTTCCTTTGCAACTGGCTGTTCTGTGGAAAGAGGTTAGTGCTGTCTCGCTTGGTCCTGTGCGAGTGACAGTTCAGTCGCGACAGCAATACAACAACGCGCGAGCGATAAGGANTTGAAATCAGCACTTCAACAGCTTACAGTGACCACCTGCCACTAGGGTAAGTTGCAGGTGGTCACCATGAGCACGGTTAGCAACAAAAATTTGGGCAACAACTCGTGGACAAAGTGCGAGGCCAGCAAGCAGCGCGCGTCCAGTCCTTCTGGCAACAAGCGGCTCATGAAGCGGGTGGCGTGCACGTGCCCTAACTGCGACTTGGGAGAGAAGTGAGTCACTGAAATCAGCACCTCAACAGCTTACAGTGACCACCTGCCACTTGGGCAAGTGGCAGGTGGTCACCGTGAGCACAGCTAGCAACAACAGCAACAACAATTCGGGCAACAACTCTGGGACCGAGTGCGAGGCCAGCAAGCA